GCACTGTGTAACTGCCTCGAGGGTGCTTGACCATTTTAACACAACGTGGTGCGATCATCCCCCTTGCACGGCGTGAGGCTGCTCGACCCCGCACAACATGATCCACTCGACCACCATCATGGTTACCGCCAAAAAAAAAACGGTAACCTGGTTGCCGAGTTCACGAAGTGAATTGGCTTGTTTCACAACGTCGTTGCCAAGCGACGAAAACCCAATCGCGATGGCGAACACCGGGGGGGACATAGAGGTAGGGGGACGATCTAATGGTGATAGACCTTCTCGAAGGGCAATACAAGTACAATACGCACCCGCTGGCTCTTTCAAAGACGCAGTAGTTCCAGAGCGCATCCAACAAGTTTCTCTCTGCGGCAGCGGTTTCCTTGCTCTCACCCTCTAGGATCGACTTATTCGCCTGAGAAGCGCGCAGAAGAAACAAGAGAGAATGCCGGTTAGAACGAAGCGATGGGCAATATCGTGACGTACACTAAACTAGGCCTGTACTCAAGAACGCAGTCAAACACCACGACAGCACCGTGGCCTTCGAACGACCAAAATCATACCGAACTGACCATAATAAACACTCCCTTGGCCCTTTGGTCCTGTTCATGAGCCTTATTAGCCTCTTCTCGCTTCGATTCTAGAGCTCGAATGCAGCGGGCGTAGATAGAGCGCTGGTTGGTAACCGAAAAGGACGCGAAGTGGGATGCCTTGAACTGCAGGTAACGAAGCCATAATGTGCAAGATTGGCTGCTCCTGAGGGTCAGGAGCCGTGCGCGAGCGACAGCAAACGACGCCAGGGAACGATTAGCAAAAGTTTCATCACTCCGAAAAAAGTGGGAGCGCTCATTCGTCCGGTTGCCAAAATGTTCATGCAAAGGCGCCAAGGCTTCGCGTGAGGCTCTGCCGCCTCGACAAAAGCTCACTTTTCGATGGCTGCCCTCCAGAGTGAGTCCACAACAACGTGCTCCTGCATCTGTGCCGCCAAATGTAGCTGTGGTATCCATAGCCTGACGCTGAACGGATTCTGTCGTAGCGCTCGCTCCAGCACGGAGGATCGCTTTTCGAGGGTCATCCGCACAATAGCAGCTGTAGGGGGCTGCAAGGTGTGACCACCTGCACACAGCCGACGAAACAAGGCGTGTATTAACACTGAACCCCTTTAACTCCAGACCGTCAAACGAAGATGGGTTGGGCTCTCGCCTACTTTCACGACGGGAACGGTTGTGGCCGCAGCCCCTTTCTCACCGTGCAGAGCCCGAACGGCGTCTTCCTGAAAATCCGCGTACTGCAGCCAGATGTCGTCTGATTGCGGTCGCTCTCGTGTCGCCAGGTTGAACTCCTTAGTCTTTCGTGCCACCCACTGTTCAAGACTCAATGTGTGCACGCCGTCGTGCTCGGCAGTCATGCCGTTCGTAGCGCGTTCATTCACGGGCGCCACGACAGGGGTTACAGGCAGAAAGTCGGTGCTCACCCTCTGTTCATTGTGCTCCATCCCGCCAAATGTGGGTATCGTACCGTCTCTAGAAAGAGTGCGAGAAGATATGGCCTGAGTCCAAGCCAGGGTGTGATCCCTGCGTTTGTCGCCTTTCCAGAGTTGCAGGTGTTCTTGGTGATCAATGGCGCTGGCACCCCTGACATGGCTACCGAAGTACCTTGCAACTTTCCTTCGCGATTTTCTGCTCCTGTGGGAGTTACGCAGGACGGCGCGGCGTAATTTTTGTGCCCACGCTTGAAACATTGTGTGAGCTGCAGGTGAACAGGGTAAGTCTTCGCAGGAACGGTCGACAGAAGTGCAAGCCGCAAGACTAGGATGTGCTACTATACTCCACTGCCTGCAGCACGAATATCGTGACCCAACTATCGCCGGGTTGATGATCCGGAGGGTGGAGGGTGCACACACGACAACAACCAATTCGTCTTTCACACGCCAGGGTTGTCAACTATTACAATGGTAGCGACAACATGTCCACTTCTAGGCAAAACTACAAGTGCAAGATCTCACCCCGCAGCGTCGTTCATGCCGTCATACAGAGGCACGTCGAGCCGGTAGAATTTGCCAAACGACATATTATCCGGATCTCCTCGTCTGCGAACAAGCGACGTTCGGCGTGTAAAAACAGTAGTGGCATGACCCGGTCAAGTATTCAAGTAGCATCTACAACATTCATGAAACGGATTTCACATTAAGAAGTTTCGGATGTGTCCGAATCGGCATTCAAACGCCCCCATTCGGCTTCATGGGAGCGACGATACTCTCACACGTATGCATACACTGTGCAACAGGCCGATAAAAGTTTTTGGTGCGAGCTACCTGCTTGTGCCGCACACAACGAACGCGAACATGGAGCGTGCGTTGCTCAGTGCCTGGGCAAGTGGAGTATTTGTTGTATCGAGCCACTTCGGACCGAAAGCTACAACTTGGTCTGTGCACATGAGAGTCACCAACACGCGGATGCACCACGTACAAACCAGCGTGTAGACACGTTCTTTATTCTCAACGCCATTAACAACAGGCATGTGCAACGATGTACAGATACCCTTGGTGGCCTCTTTGTGCTCTCACTTCGACGGTATGCGATGATGGATTGGTGTTTGTGTTTGAGTGGGGCACATGGGTACGCACCGTGCATGCGGGTAGACCACATTTTCGCCAGCTTTGCTTGCTTTCACCCACAGTCGGAATTGATTCTATTGCTACATACTCTGGGGTGGGTTACGCTAGAGTATCCCGTCTTTAGATGTAAGTGAAAGTGTGGGGAGTATCCTTCTCCATTACTTGAAGTTTTCGGCCTTAAACTCAAATCTAGTAGTGCTGTTAATCCTTTTGGAGCTTCAGGCGCTGACTGATAATTGATTGATCATCTGCAAATGCTGGTGTGGTGGCAAGCCGTGGGGTTGCCGCCCTGCAGCCCTCCACGCCGGGTATTGGGAAGTCCGTAAGGTAGGTGTGCCTTTATTATTTGCATCGACCGCGCTAAACGGCTGACCACTGAGAAGACGTCAGTGCCAGTGGGCAAAACCTAGGTCTCCGGAGCGGGCCAAAACATGAAAAAAACTGCGCAATGCGCTAAACGCGAATGCTGACATTGATCTCTCTTGATAATATTTCACAGACACACATCACAGCACCAAACATACCCTCGCCCGAACCTTGGCAGCCACTGAACTAAAGAGCGGAGGGCTGCAAAAAGGGGAATTTCAAGCCCAGCCGAAGCCAGGATATCGCGCATGCTGCACTAATCTTTCGACAATACTCGTACGTTCCCAAGATCCAGGAGTCATCGTGTCAGCAGCTACATTATAGCAGTGTAGACGAGTCAAACACAACAGCATAGACTACATGTACAACAATACACATCATGGCTCCACACATGCCCTCGCCCGAACCTAGGAGCCGCTAGGTAGGTGTGTGCTTGTGTGCTCGTGTTAGGGAAAAAACAGGAGCTCTAGTGAGCCAGCACGGCTCGCATCAGGGAGGGGGCAGTACAGAGAAGTGCAAATACCAGCAGGCTATGGGCCTTCAAGCCCTCTGACTGATCATTTCAATGATCTTTTTAATACACCGAAAATAAAATACTTGAGGCAGCTAGACGACCGATCATTTCAAGGTCTACAAGGCTACCTACCCTGCCCAACCGGCCGCAGCGCGACCACCCATCAACCCTTCCACTCTGTCTGTCGCCACCGCCCTGTCGCGAGCTGCCCGCAGGGCTTAAAGGTGGAGATCGCTGTTGCGCTTACAGAAGTACACTTTGTCTCTTTGCTGCAATTCTGTCTCTTTTTTCCGGGGTGGGAAAACAATCCACGTCGAAACGGAACCTAGGCCCAAACGAGTTAAGATTCGACTGCTCCGTTATGACACAGCCTAAGACTAGGTGTAATATATGTTAAGACACATAAACACTGTAGAGGCCAACAAGGGTCCTACGCTGTAGGCTGACCACCTATTTGATCTCCGCAGGGTAGATGGAATGTCCCTACAAAGAATAGAGTGCCCTCTGACCAGGTTGCCCTCAGCAGAGGACGCTCATCGAAGAGCAAACACAAACTAGCTTTGCTCCGTTATTTGTCAGTTCGGGCCGTTTCAAACGGGTCACGTATTGCTTCCAAATGTCCAGAGTTCCAAATTTCCAATTCTTCGTATCATCCTATCCCACCAAGTTAAGAATAAAGTTGCCGCCACATAATCTTGGACCCCTGCTAGCTTCCAAGGTTCCATTTTTTCGGAGCCAGCATCGATTGTTCATTTTCTTGAAGTTTGGAAAAGCTGAAGTAGAGAAAAGTAGCCCGTTTATAAACGGGCGAACCATAACGATTCGTATCCTTGTAACAAACACGCCGAGGGCTGATCTTCCAAAGTTGCACAACTTGTTCAACGTTATTGGAATGAGCTCGATACCGTCTTTCCCACAGCCACCCTCTCCACACTTCAACATGGTACCACGTAATGAGTTTGGTTATCGGCCCGTGAGAGTGAGAAAACCATGCCTTTCATTTGGCATCATGCACAACAAAAAGTACCTGTCCTCGATGAAGAGCTTCTGGCCACGCGAGTCTGCTGACTTCGACCTTCGCTGGCGTGAGGACTCGTCGTCCGTGCTGTCTTCGCTCCTGCTAACGACGCGTGGTACGTACAGAATAGAGTGGCATGGTATGTCCCTGTTACTCCTCCACCAATGCAATTCATTGCCGGACGATGAAGACTGGGAACGCAGCATCGACACCCACCGCCTTCACATCAGATCAATCCTTCCTATCTCATCACCTGGATCGCTCATGACGGCTTCGTTTTCGCGACTTCCCAGATTTCTTTTTGGACAGCTTGCTGCTGCTCCTCGCTTTGGGCTCACGATGCCGCCGATGTTTAGTGCTATCATGCTCGTCCAACGGCTGCTTGCTTGCGAGGGTCACCGCTCCATCCCCGTCATCGCCACCACCACCCCCATCGAAAAAGTCCGCAGCCTTGCATCTCCTGTTGCTTGCCTCTTTGCCTCTGTTGCTGCTCGCATCTTTCTCACGGGTATCATCGGCCTGTTGCCGCGCAGCGCCATAGCTTTGTCCCACGTGCAAAAAACCTAATACAAGAAGTGAATAGTAACAGCAGAGGCTCATTCATGTCAACGGGGCGGCCCAGGCAAACCATGAAGGAATCGAACTGCCACGAGTCGCACGGGATTCCACACAAGCGAGCTCATCATTCGTTCGGCACTACCAGGCACTTCCTCTGTACCGAGATATAAAGCCCTTTGGAAAACGCGGAAATGTAAGTCCGTCTCTTCATACAGTTAAATAGGGCCAAATAAGGCCGATGTCAACCAGTAGATCCCTGAAGTGTGGTCTGCATGGTGCCAGGATGGGGTAATTGCAAAAGAAAAAAAACGGACCCTGGGATGACATGATATTTTCCCGGTGAAGCTACTTCGAAGTGTGATTTAGCTCCAGATCCGGAAATGTGGCTTGCTTTGGGGTCACGAACATTGCGAGTCAGTGATACGACATCGCACTGTCTTTTTGGGTGTTTGATGATCGTTGTCCAAGACGGGGATGTACGAATATTAGCCCCGGGGTATGGAAGATACCGTCACAAGGTCACAGCTTCTTGCGCCAAACAATATAGGCAGATGGACACCACTTGCACCGGGTAGGCGCGTGATGCCACGTCCAATGTCCTCCGTGATGGATTGATTTAACCCGATGCTGGTGAAGGGAACTGTAGGAATACTTACTCTCGGCAGTCATACGGAGCACCATCACAGCAAAAACAAAAAAAACATTGCCAACGGCAGCTGCATTGCAAAGACTAATAACCAGACGGCATTACTCTTACAATACAGCAGCAGGACTAAATAGCCTCCGCACCCATGAAAACGAAAAACACAAGAATGGCTGTAAAAGCCAACAACAGTACCACGACTTGTCGCCCTGGAATATTTTTTTGCTGTGAAGCACATAATCGTATCCGTACAAGTTAAATGCCGGTGGGTCATTGCGATGGCAACAAACAGCACGAAGTGATCCTTCAAACACCAAGTACCATGCCCCCGGTCACCCCGGTGGTCTAGTTGGTATCTTCGAAACCTTCTAGAGATCAGGCCAGGGGTTCGAATCGGCACAAGCGAGCTTTTCTTGGAAAGTGAGTTTTTCTCTCGCTTCCGCTCCTGGCCTAGTGGATAGCGCTAGTTCGTGTGTACACAGAGGGAAAGAGAGCGCTGAACTCTTCTCGCAAAAAAAATGGAAGGTTACGCAGGAGGGGAGAATAGACAGGGGCTCTTCTGTGTGACCACCCACGGGTTGGGGTAAACGGCACCAGAGCTGGGAGCGCTGATTTGAAGTGAAAAAAAAAAAAAGGCTGCACACCATCATCTTGTTTGGGCATACGTACTAATGTTGTACTGCTGTATCGCGCGAATGCATCCCCCGCGCTTTTGTGTGACTGCACCGATTTTCATCCCAAAGGCTAACAACTGGACCTCCGCCAAAAGCGACGAGAGGCGTGATCGAACATTTGCATGTACTGGCAGAGATCAGCACGGCACTTTCCTCGTGCGCATCAAACATTGAAACAGCAGCAACACGCTCACTTTCTGCTGTCTTATCCTTGGCAGGCACCACTCTTGCTTCCTTGGATGCAATGTCGCCAGCAATAGGAAATAAAGGCATCGCAGCGGGATGTTTTCCCTCTCTGCGCAATTGCCCTATGAACAAGGCTGCAAGCTTCTGCAACTACTGCAGCTGCTCTGAAATGCTGCTGTAGCTGGCCCCTCTACAGGTGTCTACGTAGATTATGTAGATTCGCGGGATTAGATTATGTGGTGAGAATGGGTTTCAGTCTAGTTCTCGAGGCGTTATTTTGGACTCAGAGTAACTGTCAGATTATCTTCTGTTCGGGACCGTCGGTGGTTGTTGTTGTTGTTGTTGTTTCTCACATTAGCTCTAAAGAAGAAAGATTGGGAGCCCGTGGTCTCAAAACCCGGCATACACGACCCCACGAAGAAACAGAAAAAAAGGGTACAAAAACCACTCGGAAGAGAAACAAAATGATAGAAAGAAAGACCAGCTACCGCACCAAACGAGACAGAGCGTCGAGGAGACCGATCAAAAATAAAATAAAAGGAGAACGGGGAACGCTTCCCACACCCGCCTACAACGCCGGAGGATTCCGTGCCGGGTTCCCGCCGACCAGGCATCCCCCGCCCTGCACCACACCCCAGGGGGTGCAGCAAGACGGGGGG